TTTTTGTGCATGAAGGAACTTTTTGTGGACAGTCGCTGCTATTAACATATGTAATATGGTGTTTCTTCAACCTTTCACATCAACAGTTCATTAAGGAGAAAAAAAAAGTACAGGGATCCCTTTGAATCACATAATCACTGCGGTTGGAAGGGATCTCTGGAGATCACCTAGTCCAACAAGATCATATTTACCGAGGACTGCCAAAAATTGAGTATTATAATAGTGATAATTTTCTGGTTTCTGTGTGTATGTTTATCAAGCCCAAACTAAAGACAATATTATGCAAGAAAAGTAGGTAAGTTTTTCTTTGTTATGCAGTAAACCTTTCAGCCTTTCATCATGTTGTGTTTTTTTAGTAAAGTGCTAAGATGATCTAGTTTACAGTGTTAGCTCTTTGCTTTTGGGTTTGGAAGAGAAGGATCATGATGTATATACGAGCCTAGGGATTATTTCCATTAAAATCTGATCATCTTTGGCTAAATTGTGAATTTCTGACAACATCAGCATGAAGAAACAGCTGTTGAGCCAAAAAGGAAGTGGTGGAGAATGAAGCAGGTCTCAGGAGTGAAGCCAGGATGTTGAGATAAGGAGAGAAGTGAAGATGGAAATGCCCAGAAGTAAAGGTTGGGTGAATAATCTCTATAATAGATGAGTATAAAGATGTTATTTCCTTAGTAATGGTAGGTTCAAGAATTCTGTAGAACTTCTCAGCTGCTTCTGACTGCTGCTTCATTCCCTGTGAGGTTTGACAGTCACAGCATTCAAAGAAAATGTTAAAAGAATTTAGAAATATGCTGTAAGACTGATTTTGAGCCTGAGAAGTATGAATTATGATGTGAAGTTCAGATGGATGTTGTCTACAGAAGAGAAGATTAAACATGATAGCAGTTTTCAAGAAGATGTGGAATAGACTCATCTTCATGTCCATGATTAGTGAAACGAGAGGTAACAGGCTGAGATTGCAGTTCAGGAAATTCAGATGAAGCACAAGAAAAACCTCTTTTGGCAGTGAGAATAGTGAAGCACTAGAATACATTGCATAGGAAGGTTTTGTAATCACCATCCGTTGAAACAAGAGTCTATAGACAAATATCTCCAGGAAATACATCAACAATAGAGTTGATGCTGTTTTAGGCTAAAGCATGAACAAGCTGGCTTTAGGACATCACTTCCAACCCCGTTTTTAAAAATACAACTTTACAACTAGAAGGAGAAAACGTTTTTCATAAACAAAGGCCTCTTTAATCCTGTAATAAGCTGTAATAAGTTCTGTAGGTGTGATAAGAACTACATAAATTCAAGGTAGGAAGAAGACATGCATTTTAAGACCAGTTAATTACTGAAAAGAATCCCCGAAGGACATGGTAGGTTCTAAACAGCTTGAAGCCAGAAGTATTGTAGCATATATATAATTTGTGGACATGACTCAGATGTAACTGAAATTACTGTATTTAGTCTGTATTTTAGGGGATGTGAAACTTGGTGATCTTAAATCCTGTTTAATTTTGTTGTGTGGCTAAATTTTCCTGGGATATCGGATTCTTTTGCGTCTGCATAAGCAAGACATTCAAGTAATAAAGCCCACTGTTTTAGACTCCTCTGTGTCCAAAATCTGCTGTGAAAGCCACAAAAATACATTCACAGAAATGTGGACAAGGAGCAGTCTGCTGTGGTTCTCTGGAAGTGGTGTGTTTGTAACTGCTCTGTGCTGATGGGTTAAGCCCTGAAAGGCTGCAAAATGTCATTTGTATTAAAATTGTGATTTTAGATGATGGTCGAGCAGATCATCAGACTTTCTGCATTATTTTTCTTACACTGTTTAGAGTGAGGAAATATTTGTGGAAATCTAACCAAAAATACTGAAAATGAGTTTACAATTGCTCTGTTTTTGACTGCTGGGTGAGTAGTTAGTGTTTCCACTGGCACAGAGGAGTGAGAGTGAGTTCCTTGAGTCACTAAAGCAGTTGGCGTGTCTGAGCATCTGTCGCAACTGGGCCATGTATTAGCAAAGGGCTCTGCAGATATGATAGCAAAACAGGGACTACATATACATTTTTAATGACTGCCAATTATTGTAGGTAGGAGAAATGGAAGCAGCATGATGGCAACTGGAAGCAAAGAAAGAAACTAATTTTTCAAACTATTTTGTTAAATCAGATTACCTCAGATAGCTAGAGAGGAGGGACAGACAGAGCTGAAATCCAGCAGGCTTTGGAGAAAGGAGATAAATTATTATTTCAGCATTAACTTGGTTTTAAATTTGCTTTCTCCCATTATTCTAACTACTAAATACTGTGTTCTAGTTCGCTAGCATATATGGCTTGTTTTTAATTTACAAAGCTTTTTGGTACTACATATATTTACCAGTTGCATTCTTGACATGTTGAAATTCAGACTTTAATCTTACAGGGAGCTACAGAGTAAGAAATAGGTTTAAAACCATATGGCTCAGTCTTTGCTAGTGCGTTTTGATTTTTCATTTTATGGTTGTGTTTTGAGCCATACAATAAAAGGTGAGACTTCAGGTATAAACTATGTTAACAAGATTCCATCAGAAATGCTGGAAATCTGTCAGAGATTGTAGTAGTATTATTTTGCGTGCTCTTAGCATCTTACTTTTGAGAAATACAAAGTGCTTCAATAATACTAATACTGTTTTTCAGAACACTAAAAAGAAACAGATGGAATAACTTGAAGCTAATTTTCAGACTCATGCAGTGCACATTAGGTCATTAAGCAGAAAGCTACTTTGTGTAACAATGCATTTAATGTGTACTTACCATAAAAGCTATTTCCTGTTATTCTGTAAAGCCAATTAGCTATTTACCAAATACCAAATTTCATGTCTGTGTGATTTCTTATTTCATTGCGCAGCTTGAAAAAAGGGAAATGGCAATCATATAAATTATTATCTTGATAAATACATAATCTATTTACACTATTAGATTATTTTCTAAGAGGGATTGGAGTACACCTGTAGTTTATCTGAGAGTTGTTTATAAGCCAGAACCCCTAATTTTTTCTGTGACAGACTTATGCCTTTAGATATTTTGTATAATATGTTTCTCTCTGTGTGTTGGTTTTGGTTTTATTGTTTATGTAATATTTAGTTATTCTGTGTTCCAAATATAAAAAAGATTTATTTTGCCACTACTTTTCCTTTTGCCTGCTGTCCCATTTTACTTTTGTTCTGGGGATATGATATTTATAAGAGATATTCCTGGAACCTCATCTAGGTCTGGAAATTAAGGAGAATCCTGAAGCTTCTGGCCAGCAACTGAATTAATTCAGCCCATGAAAGATGCATTTGAATTTGCATTGAAATAAATACGTGTGCATTATTTAGAGATAGCTCTTAACATGGTATGTCAGAGGTTGTAGTGTTTCCCAAATTGTGGGCATGCCTCTCTCTGTATGCCAGTTTAGATTACAGACAGGCGGGAGGATTGCAGATTCTCTGAGGTTGCAGCTGTAGTAAACAGAAACCTCTGCAAATAATTTTCATTGCAAGTGTATGTGATGCAAATGCTTAAATTACCAGGTGTATGAAATTTTGCTGCTGAGCAATGAGCTGCCTCCATTACATAAACTTGCAAGAAATACCATTTATGAGCTGTACCCATCAGGGTTAGTAACTGTTATACTGCTCTAAATACATGTTATACAAAAATATTGTAATATGAAAATCTGCTATCAGTTCTCAAACTGTGTATGTATGTATATAGAGCCAGGTGGGGATTAGAAAATGAAGGTCTAATGTAATCAAACACATGATTTTGAATATTTGAGAAGGCCACAAGTGGTGTTTCATCCTATTGAATACATGTGACCTTTTCTGGTCCACATTTATTTGACTTCTTTCAACTTTCACCTTCTGTTTGTTGCATTGAAGAGCCATCCACTATTAAAGTTCTCATTCATCTGTAAATCCTTATGATGTGATCAAGCCAAGTCTTCGCTTCTTATTTGAATGATTGAGTACAATTGATGACTTCTTTATCCTGGACTGCAATTATCAAAGATACTTACCTGAAAGACATAGCCAAGACGGTTTTGATTAGCTTGTCTTCCTTTTAAGCACACAAGCTTGTTTCCCCAAAAGATTCCAAATATCTAGAAAGAAAGTGTACTTAGTTTTGTTGTGTTTGGCATCAGTGCCGTGACAAATGCAGTCATCAGGGGGACCACATTTGTGAATTCTATCTTTGTGTTCCATGTTGCTGTCACGTGGCCGTCCGTCTTGAGGAAGGTCAGCTGAAGAGCCATTGCACCAAAAGCAGAACAACTTTCCCAGGGACTGATGAGTGATAATTCTGTTCTGAGCAGAGGCAAGGAAACAATGTGTTTTGTCCTCTGAAAATTTCTATATAGCACTTGCTCCAGGGTAGTGCGCAGACTTGAGGGTTTAAGAGAAGATCAGATTCTTAATGTAGAAAAGCTAAGATTTTCTATTGAGAAGTTCTGTCTGTCATATCACTTATGCAGGTTTACCGAATTTTACAAAGTTCCATTGATGAGAAGGAACTGTTTATTTTTATCTCCAGAGTTAATGGGAATTTTTTTTTCATTGCATGTGTTAGGAAAGCAAAAATATGCTATACCAGTGCTCCATCTGGGATTTCTATTCCCTGCTCTCCAGAGATTGAGAATTTGCCTTCAGGAGGGTATTCTGATGTCTCTGTTCATACCTATTTGTTCATATGTGTACAGTTGAATTTTCTGAGTTTTGTGAAGTTTTCTGTGTGAAACAATGGTTTGTGTTTGCTGATTCTAATGGAGGATCATTTGCATCACCGTGTTTGTCTCAGAATCACTTGTGGTTGATGTCAACTAATGGACAGTGAACCATAACCAGAAAGTGCAATAAGCTCCGTAATTAGCAGTCGTAATTTGTCTCCATGAGAATCTTAAATTAAAACAGTCAAAAGATATATCAGAATCAATAGAGTTCTTCATCAGTGGATGACACAATCTAGTTATGTATTGTATGACTTTGTTTTGCAGAATCCATTTTTTGAAAATATGAAATGTCTTTCTCAGGCTCGAGTGATTTTCCTTCCAGCTATTACAGTTGAAGTTGCTAGATGTTTTTAGCATGTAAGTAAAGTAATGTTGAATTTTTTCCTTGAATTTTTGGATAAATGTGTTTGTTTTCTCTCTGTAAAACACTGCTTTACTCTAACTTTCTGTGCATGAGTCTACTGTGAGTAATAAATAGAGAGGCTATTGAATAGATCAGTATACAAATTTCAGAATCAGGTTTACAGATATATCAGTTGATGATAGTGACTTATTTGTTTGACATTTAAGTTCCATCCCTTCTTGTATCCATCTGGTATCTTGCGTCCATCTTGTAATTTTAGCCAAATATAGACATAGTATCTTAAAGATGCAGGTTTATCTTAAAGGGGGGTGTAGTGAGAAAGATTAGGTTTTTAATGATCTGAAATTCAGCCTTCTGACATATTTTAGGGTGTCCCTGGTCAGTAAACTATTGAGGGAAGGTCCCAGTCAGATAGGAGAAGGAGGGAAATTGTGCTGAATTTGTTACCAACTTAAATAGCAGTCTCATTCCTATAAATGGGAAAAATAGGAAGACCAACTTTGTGTGAAACCTTCTCCCTGTAAAACAGAAGCACGCATTGTGTGTCTATTATCCTACTGAATATAGGAGATGCAGATTTCTAAGATTATACCACAGAGTGTTTCTCAGTCAACAGAAACTAGCAGAGGATGTGGCTGTATAGAATTTGAGGATAAGAGGGTCATGAACTGTCAAATGCCTTGATATCTTTAATGACTGTATTTATCTGATCAGTAATTTAAAGCAGCATCTAGTGTTTAGAGTTACAGCACAGTCACAAAATGCATTTAATTATGCAAAAATCTGTTTTTTCAGATCTTGACATCTACAAACTCTTAGTCATTAGACTAATGGTGGTGTACTCATGTTACCAAGAAAAAATACTTGTCTTGTGCTCTGCAATAAAAAGGAAAAAGAAGAGTGCTATACTTTGCAGTTAATGGAAGAGACAGATCCATGTCAATAATATGGTGACTAAGTTAACAAAATCAGTAATTCTCTATAACAAACATCTATTTTTTGTTAAACTTCAGCTTTTTTGGTCTTTTTTTCATTATATTGAGGAATAATGAATGAAACTGGGAAGAAAACAATGTTCTTACTGTGAAGCTAGTTTTCTGCCCCCTCCCCAATGCTTTAAGAAACTGCCTTCCTAATAGGAGAAAGTAAATTTTACATAGTAGCACAAGAATACTTGTCTAAATGTTTTGCTGTTAGCTGCAAGTTCTGAGGCTTTCTTTTCACAGCTACAGATAAAAATCTCGTTTTCCATGCCTTCCTATTTTCTTAGTATAGATATTACAGCATGAAAAAAGGGCAGACGAGTGCAACTCAACTCTGTCTTTACTCCCTGTGCCCTGTTTTTCACAGGGACAGATTGATGAAGAAGATACAGCAGAAAAAATTACATCCAGGTAAGGACCTTTTTTTGTATTTAGTGATACTGGCTCTACAGCAGTATAGGTATAGCATTATAAATGTGGCTGCTTTTGACTGTAGCGGATAAAGTGCCATTGTAGAAAGATGCTTTACTGATCTTTAAAATTCTGTTCTCTTAATTGAACTTGTCTCGAACATGCTATTGCTTTCTGGAAAAATAACTTACACTGGAACTTAAAATGGTTTATAGTTGCTTACCTCACGAAACACTTAGCCTTTTATTTCTTTAAAACCATCTGTAGTTGTTTCCTTTGCTGATGATACCTATCAAGCAAAGTGTTTGATCACAATTGTTTTTCTGTTTGCGTGCATTAGGGCTGCCTGGCTTTTAAGGACAGTGTAGTTCCTTCAGTAGAATTCTTACAGCAAAACTCACGGTAACTCTCTTATCATCAGGAAAGACTATAGGAAAGGTTTTGAATCTACCCAATAAAAAGTAAAAAAATTTTGGATGGTAATGGGTTCTGTTGATGTAACTGTAAGAGAAATAACTGTACTTAGTAATAGGGCTTACCATTAATGTATACCTGTTACTATCCAATCCCTGCTGCTGCAGGCTTTATACATAACTTATATTTAAATAAATATAAGTGATTTATGTTATGAGGATAAATGTTGTAGTTTTTATTTAGGTCAGAGAAGGTTTGTATGTTTTAGCGGAAGTTATAGCATAATTGATATTTGATAACCAATTATGCTATAACAATATACATAAGTGATAATTGAATGTATTTTGGGCTTTGATCTTGTAAGAGATAATATATTTGACTTTGAGATTTTGTCTTTGTAGGATATAATCAACATAAATCATAGCCTAGGAATAATAAAAAACAGAATTTAAGGAATGGAAAACAGTAATATGTAGGTCTAATTTCTAACCAAAAGCTTTTAATGAAGCACAGATTTTGTGCCAATATTTAATGTATGCCAGAAAGTTCAGCTTGTTAAAACCTCAGAATGAAACGTGTAACAGGACAGCTTTTGCTTTCATATGATTTTACATATAAATTTATTATTGAACAAAAAACCCTCTTTGCTTTTAATGAATGTAACTGATTTTAGCAGAACGAAAATAATTGTTTGATATTTAGGGGATTATTCTTCAAAAGTATCACTCACACACTTTTTCCTTTTTTACAGTCTTCCTAGTGAGATCACAAAATCATTTGCTGCTGTCAGAAGAGCAACCAAGCTCCTCCCTCCATCCCTCCCCCAGGCATCCCAATACAAAAGAAAACTTTCTGCATGGGAGCTAGCTAGGTAGATAGGATGTTCTTTTGGACGGGGTGGTGAATGTGAGAAAATGAAGACTTTCTATCTCTTTGAAGATACAAGCTAACCAAAAATAGCTTTAAGAAACCATTGTGAAGGTGTTTTATTTTGAAGGGGATGTTGTAAGTATTTTGGTTTTGATAAATATTTGTATACTGTGAGAAATTTCAATTACTAATGTGCTTAATTTAAATCTATATGCTTGATCAAATATTCAGGGATATATGTATACATGTGTGTATATATATGTATATATATGTGCACACATGCTTTTATGTCTTAGATGTGGTTTTATTTTAGGTACAGGTAGCATGTACATGAGAAAATGTGCCTTTAATCTAGAACTACTATACTGATTTAAACATGCAGCTATTCCTTTAGTTTACATGTGGCACTACAACATTTTACTAAACATTCATATATTTCTCATACTAATTACTGACTACTTTTGTGGTGTTGGTTTGTTGTGTTGGCTTTATGCACATGAGTCCTCAAACTGGCTTTAGTACTATCTAGTCTGAGTTGTACTTACTTTGAGATCGTGTAATTACTTTACCTACACAAATCTAGAATGTTTTTCTTACAAAAACTCTGGTGAGTGATTTTTTTTTCAGGATGTTTAAGCAATGCACAGTCTAGTCTGTTGCATACATTTCTGACTTTGGAGGCAATGAGTGAATAGATTTTATTATATTATATTGATATTGTGAATAGCTTTTTATATTACATCTGATTAAAAAAACCTCCACCTGTAGATATTGATCCAAACACAAAATGTTTTTGGTGGGGGTGGCAGGGAGTGGGGGACAAAGCGCTAGGTGGAAGAAATGGCCAAGTATTTTAGAAACAGGAGTAGACCAATAAAATTTCCAGGTTTGATTTTCAAAATGACTAAAATAAATCTGTTAAATCTGTTGATTAATATTGGTAGTAAATAGAAGAAAATGGTGATCAGAAAGCAGAAGTGTTTTATCTTTATTCAAACCAAGCAGATGATAGCAATAGCTTTTTACAAGGCATTGTATAACACAGAAAAGAGAGTATTCCCAGCCTGTTTCTTAAGGTGTTACTGTGAGCTACTTTCTCATTTTTTTCTTAATCCAGATGAACAGGTGAACATTATTTCAGTTCATCTGTTTCAAAAATATTTGAGCTACATATAAAAAACAGTGGTTTGATTTCTTTTTTATTAATCTTTTATGTGGAATATAAGTTATTATTTTTAATTGTGGGCATTCATTACAGTATACACATCTAGTGCATCCATGTGATTCTGAACTATAGATGCTTATAATACTCAGTTTTCAGATTGGTGCTTCCTATTGTACATGGTGAACTGACTGAATGTAAAGTTTGAAGTCTGCAATAGCTGATGCAGACCATTGGTTTTGCTGACATATAGTTCTCCTCTTGTGGGTCATACGGGAGAGTGTTAGAAGTCTCTGCTTAACAGCAAGGAAGGTTTTAGTGGCTGTGGAATGATTCCATGCAAGATTGATTGATTGACTATACCTACCACTAGCTATCCCCCGATTATAATGGGGGTTAGGGTGCCTTGTTCACATGCAGGACATCAACAAAGATGTTTTTATAGACTGTATCCATCCATAACATCTTTGTGTTTCTGTATATCTGGCCTTTGTGTTAATACAAATTTGTTTATTTTTAAGGTACTGAAAAGGCTATTGATTTTGCTGATATAGCTGAAAAAGCCATCTTGTTCCATGAACCAAAACTGGTTGTGATGTATGCTTTTAAGTGTGGTTAAGTACTCCTTCATGAAGTGCTTGGAAATATCTGGTTCTGCATGTTTTGTAATTATCATTGTCTCAACTGTGTATAAGATTTATTAAAATTTGATTTTGCAAATGCCCACTTAAAATGAGTTTTGATAAATGCACATATTGGTCAAAACAATATTTTTGGAAATACTGTGGATAAGTACTGAAAAAGGAACAGGGTGCTGACTAATAATTCCAGCCAATGGTGGTGAATCTCATGGTAAGTATCACTACATGTTTTATTCTTTTTTTTTTTTTAAATTAATTTTAAGGTATTTCTTGACCTATGTTAAGCATATAGCTATTTGATTTTGTGCTTTTAAACAAAATCCCACCACAGGGTCACATTTTTATTCTTTATTCCCATGTGAAAGAATCTACTAAATGCATACTAAAACCAAAACAAACCAAACAGTTTACCCTTTATTTTTTCTGATTCAATAAAAATATGTTGCGATTCAGAATTGGTTATAATACATGCAAGAACTGCATTGAAACATGAATAAGGACATTTTTCTATTTATGTTGCTACTAGTTTTCCTATCTTCTACTTAGGAAACTCCTCAACCCCTTACTGACTTTGATAGTGTTTTACTGAGCAGTTCTGTTAGTTTAAATTACTCTCTTATGGACCTTGAATATCTTATGGTAAATAGTTTGATTGCTTTTACCTTGCTGCATGTAAAAGGAAACCTCACATGGTTTTAGGGAGCTGAAAGGAGTTCTGAAATTCACATAGGTGGAACCAAATTGAGGAATTGCATTTAGGGATTGCATTTGTATTTTGTTTTTCATTCTAAAAGTCTAAATCTGTTAGTTATTGACTCTGATGATTAGTCATTACCCCAGTGAGCATTTTGTAACTTGTGTCTGTGAAACACTCTATTAATAGACACTTTTTTTTTTTTTGTCAGTACTTTGCTATTGTAGAGAAAATTGTCCTAAAAGACAGCTTTTATCTTAAAAAATTTGTATAGATAATTGTACTATAGTAGTACCCATGTGTCCATTTTATTTAATGGTTTGTTGCTCATCCATTTCTAATACTTTGCAGATCATTTCTTCAGTAAATTTCATCAGTATATCTGGAATTCCGTGCGTTTTGACATAAAAAGATTCTGTGTCATTTTCACAGTACCCAAAGTCAGCCTTAAGTCAGTTAGACTAACCTGAACCCATGGCTAGCTATATACACTGAATTCAGTTCATCTTTCAAGATGAGAAATAAAAGTAATTTCTACTTCAATTAAAAAAAAAGAAAAAGGTGAATTTAAAGACATATTTTGTATTCCTGATACTGTAGAGAGTGGTCCTTTAGTAACTGAGGGTCCCACCAGTGCATTTGTGTCTGTTACTGATGGATCACTCTCTACAATAGGACCAGAGATATCAAAATCTGTTGTAGGATTTGCAATTCTTAATTTAATTTAAAAGGAAATTTCTTACATATCCTGTACAGGAGATTAACAGATCTGGACTCTAGCCTTGTATTTGCATTCAGCAGCATGCTTTAGGTGCTGTATTGTTAGGATTTCTGCACACTAACTTGTATTTACACACCCAAGTTTGTTCTTCCAGTTTCTAGAAGAGATCCCATTCAGTAGTACTTTATCTTCCTTCTGACAACACTTTTTCTGTAGCTTCTGTCCCAGAATCGTTTACTAGGGACACTTTTCTATCCAATGCAAAGACTGAAATTATTTCTAAGGGTAACACTTTACCTTAGTATCTTAACTTGAAAATTCAGCTAGTTCAGCAGCATATAATGAGGTGGCTGCGTTTAGCTGAGCTTCGGGAATTTCGAGTAGTCACTCTGTCTTTTCAAAATTTTTTAGTAATCTGTATCACGAGGATTTTTTCAGTTGCTTCTTGGCATCCTTTTTCCTTACCTAAGTCACAATCTTTAAATGCTTGGCAGTTGATGAAAGGCTAGAAGGTCTGTTGTTTCATGTGGGCACAAGTACATTGCTGGCACATTATCTTCTGAAGGAATCCTTTCACATTGTCTGTGAATTTTTGTCCAATTGACTTCTAGTCACTGCTGCTGAAGGGAATGTGTAGGGTTTTTTTGCTCTTGATCACTGCTTTTGACAGATTCAGCCTTCATTTTTTTTTTAAATTCAGCTTCCAAGTCCTTAATACTAAACCAATGTTTGTATTTTCTAAAACCGGTTTCTTTGCTTCATTAATTACGCTCAGTGTAGTTACCTAAAAGCTCAGTCTCTCTGTTGTCCTTAGAACTGCTTTAGAGATGAAATTAATCTTCTTAGAATTATTAAAAATTGGAAAGAAAAGAGCATGTTGGTTCTCACCTTGTCTGTTGAGTTTTTGATTGGAAATGGGTGTGTATGGTTTTGCAAAGTAACAGTTCTTCAATTATATACTTCCAATTGGTTTCCATGGTAAATTTTGATCTCTGAGTTGTGGTCCCTGATCAGACCTGAACTTGCTAGTAAAGTCCCAGAGGAGGAAAAAACACAGCCAAATCCCCTAAATCAAAACAAAATCATTGCGCAGTCATTCTGGCTCCAGGTAGTTACATATTCTTTTTTAAAGAAATATATCTATGCATTTAAAGAAGAGAGCAGTAATTACAAGAGAGTTTTGATTCTCTAACATGGTCCACGTGTGTGCTTACAGAACTGAAGTAGCACAGCTGGACCTCAGGCAATCAAAAATGCAGCGTATTTTCAAGACTCATTGGTGACCAAAAGTGTTTGTTAGATGGGAAGAGTTGCTTTTGACATGAGTCACAAAGGACAAGTCATCCTGTAGTGGGTCAAAATTTTCTTTTGTGGATGAGAACTGCAGCCATGTAAATTACTGTCATCTACAAGTAATATGGTAAATTCGGGCCAGAAGTCATTAGTAACTGAATATTTATTGTGATTGCCTTAAGTCACTTCAGTGCTTCTCATTACCTTGCCACCCTTCCCCTTTGTCAGTGATTTGAGCTCAAGCAGAATAATTGAAAATAAATTCTTGAAGGTACTCTTCTAATCCCCAGAAGAATTGCAGTATTTGTGAATATGTGAGAAGGTGAAATTGCTTCATCATATTCACCTTTTCCAGGCTGGTATGGGAGGCAGAATTGACCCACACCTGTCATCATGAATAAACATCAATGACTTGGATCAAAATCTGAATACTTAATAGTAATTATATTTGTTTCCTCTGATATCTTGGAAAGAGTAGTTATTAAACAAATAGACATAACCAAGATCTCCAGAAACAGCAGTCACTGGTGCAGAGCCACAAAGCATTAAGGCTCCTGCAAAATTCTAGGAGAGACTAATCTTCCTATTGACTTGTAGTTGTGAGGAGGGTGATACCAGATTTACTTGATTATTTGGTTTGTAGTTGTCTTTTATGGTGTCTTTAGATTGTTTAAATTCTGTATAATGGTGGGTATGGAGCTATATGAGGGTTGATCAGTGGTCTAATCACCTCCTAGTGAAGTTTATTCTGAGGAAGTGCAGGTCCCTGTTTCTTCTAAACACATAGAACAGGGGTGGTCACAAGGTCATTTAGGATAGTGGCTATCCCAGTTCTATCACTGGTGTTACTGTAATTTTTTGAGAACTGTGTACTGAATGATTCTTAATCACCAAGTCTTGTGAAAATATGCAGGATTTTTTATCAGCAAAGTTAGTGAAATAGTATCAGGCAGCACTCTACACTTTGTAGTGTTCTGCATCATACATATATATGTATGTATGTATGCTTGTGCTAAGACATTAATTTCAACAGATGTATTATAAAACCTTCAGGAAATCTGGAGATATATTTGAAACTCAGATGTTTACCAGACACTGCATCTTGGTTTTGGCCTAGGTTTATAAAAGTTTGTAATATAGTTTGTTAGTTAATGTCAATGCAAATATTCTTTCATCAAACCACATATGGTAAAGACTTAGTTGCGGCCTCATTCTCAGTTTACTACTCAAAAAAAATTAGAAAAAAACCCTCATGAGCAGACATTTCCAGCCATAAGTAAATGTCACAAGGGAAGGAGTTAAGAGTCTGAAGAACAGGAAGAGCAAAGTAAAAACATGACTAACAAATCAGCAGAATCTGACAAAAACATGATCTAACGAATCAGAGAAGAGCAAAGCTCAAGACCAGTAAGGTAAAACCTGCCATTTCTTGTGTTGTTTTTACTAGAAGCCATAAGTATCTCCCTGAATGTACTCAAAACTCAGCTGGACAAAGCCTTGAGCCAAATTCAGTGTTGGCCTTGCTTTGAGCAGGGGAAGGATTTGATGAGCCTCAGGATCCTTACCAGTTAGACCGTTTTGTGATCCCATGTAAGCAGGAGGGGTGGTAGATATGGAACTAGCTTCTGTTTTCAAGAAGTACGGAGGTACAGTAACTAAGATGCAAGGCTGCTGATAATATAGGCTGCTATAGAGAAAAACAATTGTTCTGGTAGAGAAGTGATTTTGTCACTTGCTAGCTGGAAAGGCAAAGGAAACTATCTCTTCTGCAACCTGAATTATACAGGGTAGATCCAGAATCAATTGTTGATCTTTTTTGGGTTTGTTTCTTCTTCTAAATTAATGTGATTCTAGTTAGTTTTTCTTTATATCCTGGAGAGCACCAAACACAGCATAGCCCGCTGGTCAAAAGAGGTGATTATCCCGTTGTATTCAGAGTTGGTCTGGCCTCACCTGGAGTACTGTGTGCAGTTTGGGGCCCCACAATTTAAGAAGGATGTTCAGATCCTTTAATGTGTCCAGAGGAGGGCAACAAAGCTGGTGAGAGGGCTGAAAGGAATGTCCTGTGAGGAGCAGCTAAGGACTTTGGCCAGGTTGGATGGGACTTTGAACAATCTGGTCTACTATAAGGTGTCCCTGCCAATGGCAGAGGGGTTGGAACTAGATGATCTTTAAGGTCCCTTCCAACCCAAACCATTCCATGATTCTATGATTGTCTCATTTGGAGAAAAGGAGGCTGGGGGGCAATCTTATTGCTCTCTACAGCTTCCTGAGGAGGGGAAGTGGAGAGGGAGGTGCTGAGCTCTTCTCCCTGGAATCTAGTGATTGGACGTGTAAGAACCGTTCAAAGCTGCACCAGGGGAGGTTTAGGCTGGACATTAGGAAGCATTTCTTTACCAAGAGTGTGGTCAAACACTGTAACAGGCTTCCTAGAGAGGTGGTTGATGCTCCAAGCCTTGTCAGTGTTTAAGAGGCATTTGGACAATGCACTTAATAACATGCTTTAGGTTTTGATCAGCCCTGAAATGGTTGGGCAGTTGGACAACAGATGATTGTTGTAGGTCCCTTCCAACTGAAATAATGTATTCTGTTCTATTCTATGCTATTCTTATTCTGTTCTGTTCTAATTTTCATACAAGGTTTCACAGAAGGAAGAAATAATTTATGTAATTGGTATTAGTTTTAAGTTGTTTGTTATTTCTGTTATTTTCTAACTGTCAATAGTTTTCTCTTTTAAGTTACTTCTAGCACAGAAACAAACATATAGAAGGAAAAATGGATCCCTTGTTTTGGCCATCGGAAACTAACAGCTTCCGACGTTTCACCCCCGAGTCCTTGGCAGCAATTGAGGAAAGAATTGCTAAGAAAAAACAGCAGCAAGCCAAAGTTAGTGGGAAGTATAAGGATCAAGGAGTTGAAGAAGATAAACTTACTCCTCAGCTTGATCTGAAAACCTGCAAAAAACTTCCATCTCTGTATGGAGATCTTCCTGTGGAGCTCATTGGGGAACCCCTGGAAGATGTTGATCCATACTACAGTGATCACAAGGTTAAAACTTTCAAACGCATTTTTTAAATTTAATTTTGTCTGCTGAACACTTAAAGAGACAGTAAAAGCTCTATTCAAGGAGATGCTGATTTTTGATTATTCTGTATACAGAACTTTGAACATTACTAGCGTTTTTTGGGGCAGGAGGGCTAAGGTATGCTTCACGTTATGTAATGAAAAGGTATTTTAAGTTCCAGTAAGCAATCAGAATTAATTATGAAAACATGATACACTTTGATAGGAAAAATATTCTGGGATAACTGATGCTTTGTTTTCCAAAGCAGTTTCGATAATGTCTGTGGGGTTGAACTCACTGTGGTATAACAGTGCCTGTCAAACAGTAGATCACGCTGGAATTGCTGATTTATTGCAGATGCTTTTGCTGAATAACAAATATACAAATTAAGGGAGACATATTTGAGATCTTTCCAGTACTATGTGTAGCAAAATAATATATTTTCATTATAGTAAACTAATTTTCTGTTATTTTATGTCACATCATCTTTTTTATTGTACCATATCTATATTGGATATACTCCATGCTATTGCAAAGTAATTTGTGTCATTGCCTATAGGAGTATCTAAAGTAGATGCTCTAGGAATCCCTTCTAAAGGAAATGTCTATTGTATGATTGCTTACTGTTGAGGGGAACTTGGACCTGAAGAGCATAAGGTTCCATCCAGTCCTGTGTTGCTGTCTTTTATTTATACCAGCAAGTCACTAGAATATAATAGTTTAATCAGAGAACATGAAGAAAGCTTTGTTCTTCCAAAGGTTTTTTTTCTGAAAGTAATCAAAGTTATATTCTTAATGAAGAGAAACTAAGGCTGATTCAGTTGAAAAAAATTACATAAAAGTTAGTGAATGTTTTTTATTTAAGAGATTTCATTTTTACTTCATGTGGCAAAAGTACTGAGCTGCATGAACTTAAGGTAGCTTAGGAAGAATTTACAGTGTTACTTGATAATTTAGAGATATTTCAAAATTAAAATTTTTGCATGAGATTCTGGCAGTCCTACCCAATCTGTATTTTGTAAATAATCTTTTGTTAGCCTATAAAACTATACAAGAGTAAGGTACTTTTAAGAATGATAAATACCATTGTTGCAGTCCCAGAATAGTATCCTCTAATTACTTTGACCAAGTGAACATGGTCACTTGCTCTTCAAATTCATTCCCATTGCTACTACTTCTTCACAGTCAATAATGAACTTTTATATAGCTGGTGTCTTTCTTTCAAAACATAGTATCATCAGGTCACAGCTCTAAGTAAGAATACAGGAAATCTTTACTCATAATCACAGTTAGATATTGTTCTTGATGCAGATTTGAAAATGTAAACATTTAATTTTTGGGGGAAAATTTTGTTTCATTAAAATATTTCATATACTATGAATCTTTTTTTTATAGACTTTTATGGTGATAAATAAAAGGAGGACTATTTTCCGGTTTGCAGCCACACCTGCTTTGTGTATAGTTGGTCCTTTTAATCCTGTCAGAAAAGCAGCAATTAAAATTCTGACCCATTCATATCCTTTTATTGGTTTCCCTTATTTCATTTTCAATAGATACTGTACCATTTTCTGTCATTTTGTTCCTCTATTCATATTAATGTTAATGTAAGCTCATGTGGCTGTGATAGAGATTTTTAAAAAGTTATACTGAATCTTTCTTTTACAACAGTTGAGATATTTACACAGTGTTAGTAGAAGTAAAAATGTCAAAAATCTCATATTTAAAATCAGATTTGCAGATATTGTTATGAAACAACGTTTAGAGGCTACTGTATGATATTTTAGCCCCTTTCCAGAACTTTTTCTAAATTTCTGCTGTGGTGACAAGCTTAATTTTTTTTTTTTTTTTTTTTTTTTTTTTTTTTAAGGCTCCCTAATTATTAAAACATGAAGGATGTGATTTACAGAAATGTTTTGCTGAAAGTGTCTGATATTATCCTAATAAATGTATTTCACACACAAGTTTATAAAGTTCTGAAGAGCACCCATTTTTTATATTTTTGCAAAATTATAAACATAGTTTGAACAATGTAAAAATGTGAAGGATCGCAGGTGCAAAACCATAGTCTAAGTAGTTTCTGCTCTTTCTGCCAAACATCTCTTTTCATTTGTAATTATTAATTTGTAGAAATAGGTCTTTTTATGGGAACATATGGCTGAATTTGAATGTGTATTCATGCTATTAGAAATTACTAAATTCTCTGTTCAGTTTCAAATAAACTCTAAATTTAAGGACAGTGTTTGCTTTTTTTAAAAAAAAAAATGCTTTTATTAGGTGACAAGTGAACTTTCATGAAAGGATGGGGTTTTTTTATGTATGTTTTCATTGCCTGCCACATAAAATTAGAGAGTTTTCTGAACTTGTTGCAGAGCATAGGTGTCTCTTGTAAGAATATTATGTATGAACTCCCAATTTCAAAGAACAATGGTTATTTGTAATTAAGCTTTTCCCTGGGGTTTTCATAGGCTTAAAGCCCTTAGTTATAATGGGGTTGTGGCCCATTTCTCTTTATTCCATGCTTCTGCTGGGAAGAAATGGAGGCTTCACAGAATTACAGAATCATCTAGGTTGGAAAAGACTTTGAAGATGACCTAGTCCAACCGTTAACCTAACACTGACCGTTCTCAACTACACCATATCCCTCAGTGCTATGTCAACCCGACTCTTAAACACCTCCAGGGATGGGGACTCCACCACCTCCCTGGGCAGCCCATTCCAACGCCTAACAACCCCTTCTGGAAAGAAATCCTTCCTAATATCCAGTCTAAACTTTCCCTGGTGCAACTTGAGGCCATTCCCTCTTGTCCTATCGCTTGTTACTTGGTTAAAGAGGCTCATCCCCAGCTCTCTGCAACCTCCTTTCAGGGAGCTGTAGAGGGCCATGAGGTCTCCCCTCAGCCTCCTCTTCTCCAGACTAAACACCCCCAGTTCCCTCAGCTGCTCCTCGTAGGACATGTGCTCCAGACCCTGCACCAGCATTGTTGCCATTCTTTGGACATGCTGAAGTAATTCAATGATTTCAAAGAGGTTTCTAAAGTTTCAAATAACAGTAGACAGCAGAAGACTCAGATTTTGCTCACTACTTTATGTTTCTCATCTATTCTGTCAAATTTATTATGTCCCACTAATGTCCTAACTTCCAAAACTATTGCCACATGCAGATTATACACTTATTTTTAAATCATGAAGGTTACCATATGAACAGAAGTTTGATCTGACATCTGTTTCTTTGGAAAACACATGAAAAGTCCTGAATATATTCAAAACCAAATAATTTGACCAAATCTATATGGGTTTTAGTGTGTAAATCAGCAACTCTTCTGAACTTATTGCTTTATAATATAGCACTTTTTCCTTAACTTATTATTCACAATATTCGTTGGCTTTATTACATGTACTGTGTTACTCAATTGCGTTTCAATGGCTGTAACTAAGCTTCCAGAAGCACTCAGCTGGACTGAGTAAGTATTTCAATTGCCATTTGTTCACTCTTTTTCTAAGGATATAACATGCTGGACTGAAAATTCTAAATAATTTGGTGATCTAATTGTGGGGCTTGAAAATTCTCAGAGAGACCTCTGAGGAAGATTTAGGATTATTATATCACAGTCTTCTGTGGAGCTTCAGTGCCTTTTCTTGGAGGCTTATACCATATGCCCTTTTCTCTACATTGGCTAATTTTACCATCTGGTGTAACATAGAAACTTGCCCCATTTTTCCTTTCAAGGATTAAGTCTTTCAGAGAGACACTGCAGCGGGATTCTAACTTAATATCTCTCATTCTAAGGCAATAACCTGAGTGTCTGTTATGGCCAGCTCATGCAAAAAGGGATAACATTCATTCCATTCTTTCTTACTGTTTCCCAGGGACACCCCAAGTTCAATTGTTCATATTAGGAAGCCATCTACCTATAATGTCTTGTTACCTTTTGTAATTGTGCACTGTATCCAGTGTAACTTGGGTTGATGTTCTAGAATTAAATCTTGAAACTGTGCCTAGAGCCTCAGAGGTTTAATAATTTTAATTCCTCTTATTTTGAGGTAAGCATGGTAATAATGATAGCTTAATAGGATTTCTCTCAGTTCTACAGTATTTGTTAGAAACAGTCTTTGCTGTTATTGTTTTTCCACAATATTGAGGCTTTGAAGTTTTTCAGCCTGCTTTAGAACATAAACACAGTCTTAAAAAAAAATTAAAAATAAATGTGAGCTATCCTTTATTCAGAAATACTATGGTATGCTCATGTGAACATTTATGATTATAGATTTACATGGAAATCTTATTAAAATTCAGGAAGGCATCTTCCCATGATGTTTCTGAAAGTGATGTAACCTGTCCTGTTTTACTTCACATTTTCTACCTTCATCACTGTCCATCTGTTTTTATTTCTATAACTTTAATATACATTTTCCTTTTCAGATATCTTTTTACTGGCATATATACTGGTGAAATATTGGTAAAAATATTAGCAAGAGGATTTGTTTGGAATGAATTTACATTTCTTCGAGATCCATGGAACTGCTTGGACCTTGTAGTTATTGTTGTAATGTAAGTAAAACTCAGTTGCTCTTTTGCACTCAAGGGACAAACATGCAGATAAAATGCTATTTAGTATAGATGAAGTTCTTTAGAGTGGTTGCGATCCTGCCTGCTTAAGAGTTACTGTGATTGAATCACCCTTTGCATATCTGCTTTACATACACAGTTATGGGCTCTGAAATAGCTTTCACTCCTTGGGACAATGATGTTGGAGTTAAAATAGACAGTCTTGTGAAAAGGCCCCTCCAGTGTGCAATTATGGTTAGAGAAGAAAATAGAAAATGAGGACATTTTAGGTAAGAAATAAGCAAAGAAGAAAAACACATAATTATTTCACGGTGTGGCCCATATTTTTCTTCAGGACTATATGTAGTTTTGTTCCTGCTAGCTCAAAAGAAGACAGAATTAAAAAAGATACAGAGAAGAAGTATGCCTTGTGTTCCACTTAATAAGAAACTAAATAGAATAGAACTCATTAAAAAAATACAGAACAGGAGCATGGTTGAAGTCTGTGGCACAGAGCCCAAAAGAGAATAAATAATTTATTTTTTTGTTCTACAATGAGAGTTAAAGGCACTAAATGAAGTTGTCAGATGGCAGAATAAAAAAGAAGGGAGTACTTTTTTCACACTACTTGTAGGCATATTCCCATAGGAGGTTGTGGATGCAAAAAGCTTAGTTGCATTCAGAAGGCTTCTGGACAAAATCGTGGATGAAAACACATTAAAAGTTATTTTTAACACAAAGATACTGTGTCTTGTTCAGGAAGTCCCTGAGCTATAAATTTGCTGGAAGAATTAAATCTGGGAAGTATCACTCCCATGATTTTAAACTCCCTTGTAAGCATCTGTTCTGCGTCATTCTTGAAGACAGATGGATCACTGCTGTGGTCCATTTTAGATCCATATCAAAGCCAACTAGCTAGGTGAACAAGAAATGAAGAAGAAACCAAGTCAAAACTTGCAACGCAAATGCAGAAAGTTAATCTTGAAAATGAAATACCTGCAGCAGTGAACAGATTCACTTATGCCCAGTCTCAGAGCTTTCAAAGCAAATCTCTGTAATTTAGCATTTCTGAATAATTTTCAGTTGTCTTGTTCTAATTAGAGGTGTAATTTAGTTTGGAAGAGACCTCTAGAGATCATGTGGATATCATGCTCCATGCTAAAAGGAGGAATAATATGAATAAGGTTGCTCTGGACCTTGTCCAGTCAAGTTCTGAATTTCTCTAAGCATGGAGATTCAACAGCCTCTCTGAGCACCCCATTCCAACCACACTGTGGGTTTTTTCTCTCAAATTTCTAATTGAAATGTCTTGTTTGGCAACTTACATCTGCTGCCTCTCATCCTTTCATGGTGAGCTTCCAAGAACAGCCTGGCTCCATCTTCTCTAAGCCCTTACCTTGGGCAGCCAAAGGCAGCAATAAGATTCCCGCTCCCTCACCCCATTAGCCTGCTCTTCGTCAGACTTAACAAGTCCAACCCAGCCTAACAATTTTACCATTTAATTGTCTTACTGCCCCCATTAGAGCCCTGGTTGGACCTGCTTCAGAATGTAAAAGTCTTTCTTGCCCTGGAGAGCCCAAAGCTGGACACAGTACTCCAGATTCAGTCTCAGAAATCACTTCCTTCAATGTCTGAGCCAGGCTCCTCAACATATGTGCTGGACTCATGCTAATCTAGCCCAAGATCTGATAGGTGTTCTGTGTCACAAGGGTGTTCTGCTCATTCATGTTAAAATTGTCTGCCATGACCCCAGGTTCTTTTCTGAAAAGCTACTCATTATCCAATCTGCTCTCAGCTCCTACTTGTGGTCATGCAAGGTGCAAGAATTTGCCTTCACTTTTACTGAACTTCATGAGGTTTCTACAGCCCATAACTCCAGTCTGTCAAGCTCACTCTGCAGAGCAGCCTTGTCACCTGGTGTATTGACTGCTCCCCCCTCAGTTTAGTATTTGTGAACTTGCTGAAGGCAAACTCTATTCCTTTCTTCAGGATGATAATGAAATTCTTAAACAATATGGGCCCCAGGACTGACCCCTGAGGGATGCCGCTAGTAGTAACCAGCTGCCAGCTGAAC